TCCATTTATAAAAGCGTTGTATATTAAAAAGTTTTTTTTATATTATTTATTTTCTACTTTTTAGTCCTGTCTGAATAAAATTTTGCAATAGATATTAAAATAATTCAACGATATTAATAGAAAGGTGCACACACATGCATTTACATATGTATGTACATACAAACGAGCACCAATTAATTTTATTTAAAGAAATGGCGTGTCGTCTATTTCCGCTGTAGCAAACGTAGTACATAGGGCGACATCTAGATGTCATCTACCTCGCCCTATTCACTACAGCTGTCGCCCTATGCACTATGCTTTTTTATAGGAACTTTTCAAAGCTTTGCTTTGGTGTCGGACACACAACATTGAAAGTTTCTGGATCCACAACATTGAAAGTTTATGGACGCACAACATTGCAAGTTGATAAAAGCGTTGTAAAATATAACTTTAAGCAAAAGCAGATGTATGTATGTATGTACACATATATGTATATTGATTATGAGACAAAATAGATATGTACATATGTAACGTAAGTTTCACTTCTCCAGTGTGGCCCAGGCGCACAAATTTTTTTTAGTTCTTGGGTGCAATTTGGCATACCTTATTTGTATCTCTGTAAAAATTGTGGAGGTATATATCCTTGGTTTGCTTTCACAGCTCATGTACTCCATTGGACGGACTTAGTAAGCTGCGCTTTTAGTTGATTTCGCAAATTTTCGACGAGATTCATATCCGCGGATTGAGGAGGTCATTTCAAATTAGCAAATTTTTGCATTGCATCCAGTCTTTGCTTGATTTTTCAGCAGAACCTCTCATTTTGTTGAAATATGAACAGATAATGTTCCTTACGCATAATGCGTATTAACGGACCAACAGCATTTTTGAAATGAATATTATTGACCGACCACTGTGATTCACAGTTTGCCTTATAAAAAAGGATAAAAAGGAAATACAACTGAAGAATGTGCGATGTTATATTGTGGCGTGTTATGCTGCATATGTAACGTTATTTAATCTTATGTTATGGTATGTTATGTTATGCTAAGTACTAAGCTAAACTCCCCTCCACTTAACCCATTCCAACTAATGTTATTTCAGCTCAACTCAACTCACCTAAACTATCCTTAATTTTNCGTGTTATGCTGCATATGTAACGTTATTTAATCTTATGTTATGGTATGTTATGTTATGCTAAGTACTAAGCTAAACTCCCCTCCACTTAACCCATTCCA